TAATTACATGTGCAACACCAAACAGTAGCCCAACTATAACAGAGGCTGTGAATCTGTTTTTGCATGGGTATATCAGAGATGTTCTGTTTTATAGTTTGGTTGGAAAAGCAGCAAGCCTATTTAGGCTTTGGCCTCTTGCTCCAAAAATGTCTTCATCCATTTTATTTAGGATGCTTCTTCTGTTCCAGTTCCTGATACGCTGGAAAAAAGGGCCTCTATAAATGCCTGAAAAAATACTGATGAAAACAACTCACAAATACAAATCTTTCTGCATTGTGAGTCAACAATAGCAGCTGGATTGTCCCCAACACATGGATGGGATTAGTCAGTCTTCCAGGTGCTCATGGCTACAAGCAATAAACAAAACTGTCTTAATTACGATTTAACATAAATTAGGATTAGCGCACCCAGGAAGGCTTAGTGGGTTATCAGCAGCCTGCATTTTACCCAAACTAGCATTTTGTGTACTCTCAGATATACTGTCCCTTTATCTCCTCACATAGGTTGACTCCTACACAAAAGGATTTCATGACAGGTAAAGTAGAATTTCTCAAACCCTGCATAGAATACAAACCTAAAAGCATTACTACCCAAGCAGCCAAGTGCTTCATCCAGTACACGGGATTTATTTTTAATTATTTATTTTCAATGTGCATCTCTAAAGAAACTCCAGCATACTTTGAAGGAAATATTTCCCAAGCAGTGGTCACTAGTTGTGACTATTCCACAGAAGCAGTCTGTTCTTATTTTGTTTCTCTGTAACATTCTTATGAGATCCACACTATTTTCACTCAAGATTCCTACAGCATGTAGTTATTCCAAGTACTGTATTCATAAACAAAAGACTAAGAAAATTAAAAAAAATACTTTTTTACCATTCTTACACTCCTAAAATAACCCGTTTCTCTAAGAACTACTTGAAAATTTTCAACATGTTTTTTCTTTTTTTTTTTCCTGTTGTTTTTGAAGTGTTAATGCATTGAACATATAATTACTGTAGAAAACTATTTTCATAGGTCTCCTCTGGTCAATCCAGAGTACCCACAGCACCAAAGTCCCAAAAGTGAAGGGAAATATGGAAAAGTAAGGATTTTAACTCATCCCTAATTCTGACCAAAGGCTCACCTTTGGGTCACTAAAAAATGGTTCTCCTCACTAAGCAATTTGCATATAAGTTTCTCCATTCTTGCCAGATTCAACCAAAATATCATGGAAGGCTTTGGCAGAGCTATCATCCCCAGGATGTTAAAATTCCCACATGAATATCAGCAACTCCAGCTCTCCTACAATGTAGAACTACAGAGGAGAACAGAAAGCCATGGAGAATTCAGATCACACATTGCAATTCTACATTAGGAGCTGTACATAAGATCTTGTACATTGGGAACAAAAAAACTCACATGTGTGAGGTTGGAATTAAAAGCCAATCTGAAGTTTTTATCTCCAAAAATGTTTTATACAGATAAATCATATTTTGCAGTTCCTTCAGACATTGATAAATATTCCAGGAAACTACCTAGAAAGGATTTGGTGTCAGCATAGGACTTCCCATGACAATACTCTAATAAAATCTACTGTGTGATAAGTTTTCTGTATTAGGAAACCAGGACAAATGTGCTGCAAAATCTCTGCGAAAAGAAATCAGAAATACTAAAAATCAATACTTAATTCTGGTAAGGCTGGAAAATGCTTTCAACACTCTCATGGTTAAACCCCAGATGGCAACTCAGCCCCACGCAGCCGCTCGCTCACTCCCCACCAGTGGGATGGGGGAGAGAGGACAAAGGTGAGACAAAGGCAGATTAACAGGTAAAGCAAAAACTACACATGCAAGTAAAGCAAAACAAGGAATTAATTCACCATTTCTCATGGGCAGAGGCAGGTGTTCAACCTTCCCCAGGACAGAAGGGCTCCATCACACAGCAGTGACTTGGGAAGACAAGGGCCATCACTCCAAACGTAACCCTTTTCCTCCTTCTCCTCCAGATTTACATGCTGAGCATGACCCATACAGTGTGGGATATCCCCTGGGTCAGCTGTCCTGGCTGTGTCCCCTCCCACCTCTTTGTGCACTCCCAGCACCCTTGCTGGTAGGGTGGGGAGCAGGAAAGTTCCAAGGTAGTTTTCCAATGTAAAAAAACTGAAATAATACAATAGAAGCTTTTTTAAAAAGGGGACTTGGCATAGTGCAGAGGGGAGAGGGTCTGGCAGATTTGGACTCTTGCCTGCATCATGAATTTTATTCCAGGAAAAATATGCAGGTATCCCATTTTTATAAAACAGTGCTATACAACTGGAAAACCATGTTTACCAGAAGACTTGGCATACAAGGAAATACTGATCCAGGGCTTAAAATTTTCTGCCTTCTAGCTATTCTCTGCACTATCTATGTGTGCCACACAGCTCCCGTTCTACTAATCCCTGATCCAGTGTTAAGCACCTGATTTTCAAGAAACCACTTGTACACTTGGGCCTAAACTTGAGCAACTAAGTGGGGATTTCAGTGTTCTCTCTTAGCTGACCTAAGAGGTTTGTGCAAAGAGGATGACAGGAGCACAGGAATAATAAAGGTAGCAGCATACAGCCAGGTCTGTTTGGGAGATGAGGACTCCAGCAACTGTAAAGGTTGCACAGGATGTACAGAAAGGATCAGTTTACTGTGTTAAGATGAAATATCACTGTAACTTAAAGGAAAGTACTGAATTGCTTCTGCCACATGTAATGAATTATTAGTTTGCTCTTCCCCCTTTGGATTCAGAATTAATTCTTGGTCTATATTGGCATTTCTCTCATTGGAAGATTTAATTTGCATCATTAGAGCCCTGAGACTATTACATTTGCAACCGACACAGATGTACACCAGAAAAAAAATTCTGGTAAATATGTTAATATGATAATGTTAAGTGTTAGTCAAAATTCTACTTAAACATCAATAAGCTACTTTAGTTTAAGAAAATCTTATATTATCACCAACAGATACAAAAATGTATTTCACTAATAACAGATCTGACTTCTCACTTAGATTCTAATTAAGTTTAACCACATTTAACATCGGGAGAATTAAGCGCTTTGCTGAATATAGACTCTCTTTCTTGATCCATCAGTTCCATGGTGGCATTATAACTGATCTTACATCACAGGGAACCAACACCTACCACTCTCCACATCTGTTGCATGGCACAATGCCAGCAGTCAATTGCTCAAAAAAATCATGTATAGGTTGATACACTTGAATTTGACAATCAATTTTGTCTTTAAAAAAACAAGCAAACAAAAAGACCAAAAAAAAAAAAAAAAAAAAAAAAAGCTTTTTCTTTCTGTTAATAGTAAAAATGTGAGTATTTCCATACAAACTTGATCACACTCTTAAAACACTGTGAGAAGAGAGACTGTAGGAGTATTCTGGTTGATACCACCACACAGCTCGGGTGGCAATCACTGCTTAACAGTTTCACCAAGAATATTTTCCTACATCCCCTTCTACATATTTCAAAAGAATGGCTATGAGAAGATACACAAGCAACAGACCGAGTATACATGACACATTTCAGGTACTTTGCACCAAATATAGAAGTGTCTAGATGCAAGACAGATTTCCTAAAGAATTAACAGGCCATCCACACCAGAAGTTGGAGTGGTTTTAAGCCTGAGTGGGTGATATGAGGCTATCTGGTATTTAATACAAGGTCACATTTCTATTTACACCGGAAAAGAACCAATTAAATTAATGCCCTGGAAACAACCACATGTAGTAGTCCACTGTAAATCTTTATGCACTATTGCATGTGTTTTAAAGACTTTTCTTCTTTGTTCTTCCCAATGTCATCACAATTTACATCTTCCCTCTCACAGTTCAGGTACTAGCTGCATCTTCAGGACAGATAAAGTATGATATGTTCAGTGGTTAAACCTATAATTCGGAATTATATCTGTCCATGTCCTTAAGAACATTTTCTCTGTAATACCACGAAGGAGTTGCTCTTTCCCCCTTCCTCAAATCTGAAGGTATTTTCCCTTCCATATGGCTGTTGAAAGACTACAGCAAAAACATGCAGAGGATCATGTACTAAATATCCACCATAAATCCTCCTTAAACTCAAAACAAGACTCAGTGAAATAAGAACATACACCACTTAACGTGAGGAAAAAAAGTTTTAGTCCCCTGAGAACTACTATCACTCCAAACTTGTAGTTAAACTTTCTGGGGTTTTCACTTTTATAGTAACCTTAAAGAGTCATTAATTAAACCTTAACTTCAGTTTAAAGGGATGCCATCAATTTGAAAGCAACTCTAATACCAAGAACACAACTATAAAATTCTTTATTCTGCTCATGTGACTGCAGCCTGCAGTGGTGTCCTGGCTGATAAAAACTAACTTTCCTCTAAGACTTCTCAGGAAATTCACCAACACCAGCTGCTAAAAGCAAGGAAAGAAAACTGCATGTATGGAGAGATTAGCTGCAGTGAAAATTCTGGATTTCCATAAAATGTCTTGTGAAATAAGGAACAGACTTTTAGAAAGCTCATAACAATGCTGACATAATCCACTGAACTTGTAGGACTCCCCGGTAGTCCCTGGATCAGTCACCTGTTGTTCCAGTCAAGCCCAACAAATAATGCTTATGAATAAATCAGGATCTACCATACCACCAAAAAAAAGAATAAAAAACTCCCACAAATTTTCAGTCCTCAGGTGGTTAAAACTGCCATCTCTTTTTCTTTTCCCTTGAAATCCACTGAAAACAATACATTATATTATAGCAAGTGTAATATAGCAACTGAAAAACAGCATTACAAAATTAAGATATAATAATTTTCTTGCTACTTTGGCCATCTCAAAAAGAGAAATATCCCTTTAAGAGGTCAGCTCCATTTGCTGGTTGCAACAGGCAGGGGCAACCGCCCGTGACATCACAGGGCAGCCAGAGACTCGGTGTTAAGGTTTGCCCTCCACGATGTCATAGAGCAGCTCTAAGGACAGAAAGGTCCTTTTAATTGGCCTGGGGTGACTGTCCATGAGATCACCCGGTGACCAGCGCTGGGGTGACAGCCCAAACTCCTGCCACACCAGTGCTGCAAACAGCCACCTGGGGCCACTGGCCACCGGCCACCGCACATGAGGCACGGCGGCTCCCGCTGGGGCAGCTCCCTGAGTCTACCCCACCATGGATGCTGTGGTGCTTAAAAAGAGGGGCTACAGCCTGGGCAGCACACTAGGGGAAGGCTCCTACGGCAAAGTGAAGTGTGCCTACAGCCACCACCTGAACCGCAAAGTGGCCATCAAGATCATCAACAAGAAGAAAATTTCTCCGAACGTCCTGGAAAAGTTTCTCCCCAGGGAAATGGAGGCTTTGAAACGGTTGCACCACCCCTCGATCATCGAGACGTTCGAGATTTTTGAGACATCAGTCGGGAAAGTGTACATCGTGATGGAGCTGGGGGAAAGGGGAAGCCTCCTGACCTACCTCAGCATCAAGGGACCGATGGAAGAGGGCATCGCTCGCGTCAAGTTCCAGCAGTTGGCTTCTGCCGTCAAGCATTGCCACGACTCGGACTTTGCCCACAGGGACCTGAAGTGTGACAACATCCTTCTCGACAATGATCTTAACTTCAAGCTGACAGACTTTGGGTTTTCAAAACCCTTGTCTCGGGACGAAAATGGAAAAACCATTCTCAGCAACACTTTCTGCGGGTCTCTGGCGTACTCAGCGCCTGAACTGCTTGAGCACATTCCTTGTGACCCCAGGATTTCTGACATGTGGAGCCTGGGCATCATCCTGTATGCAATGCTCTATGCTTCACAGCCTTTTGATAGCTCTAATGTCAAGGAAATGCTCCAGATTCAGAAACAACAAAAGATTCCCTTCCTCAAGACAAAACGCCTGTCTGTGGACTGCAAGGACCTCATTTCTCAGCTGCTCCAACCTGATGTGTCTAAGAGACTGTGCATAGATGAGGTTTTGCAACATCCCTGGTTGCAGACTCCAAACCCCATACCCTCTAATCCTTTGCTAGCTGCAGGAGAGGGCAATCCCAAAGACTGTGCAAGAAAAAACCTGACCAAAGGCAGAAGGGCCACTCCCATTCTGCGCAAGTGTAAGGAGTGGAGGAGGAAATCGGATCCTCTCAAGGGTGGTTTGTTTCAACAAGACCACAAAGTTGCCTAACTTGTGAACTGCATTAGTTGAAACTGAAATTAAAGGGAACCTGTCTAAAATTCTGCATCATGTCCCAATATAGACATGGTTGTGTCCCCTCCTCTGCACAGTGCATTTGAATGAAGTGCTTTAACGCTGCCAGAGGCAGGACTATGAAAGACGTGGGGAAACAGTGAGGGAGGGAAGTTTTAGAGCCTCTAAACAAAAAGAGAAGCACTTTGTATGTAATACCTGGAAGAGGAATGTATTTCAAATGTGACAATGCAAATTTTTTAATAGCTCAAAATCAGAACTAGTGCATTTTATAACAATTTTACAACTATTTCATTACTTAGACTCTGATCTGCCCAGATGTGCTGCCTATGAATCATAAAATGTAACCGATTTTCTCTTTCCTCCAGTTAAGAACAGGTTTTTGTATCTTTCAAATTTGAGACTTTTAACAAATAATGTCTAGTATAAACCATCCCCATATGCTTAAAAATTAACATGGTTACAAATCAGTTGCACCATAACCCAGGTTTTAAGTCAAAAGGAATGGGGGAAAATTTTTCATTAATTAGAAAGGGAAATTTTAAAGAATACAGATCCAATTATCAGCCACCTTTTAACTTCAACCTATTGGGTGAGAAAAAGACATCCACAAATAACAGATGTGTTTGTTCAATAACAAGAAATATAGTAGACATTAGAAAAAAAATCTAACTTTAAACTTCAGTGCTATAGTTGTTTGGCCTCATACTTAAAAAATAATGCCATGCACACAAATGATAACCTATTAATAATATAGGATTAGTTAGAAAGAGTCAGGCTACTAAGTTTAACTCCTTATAAAGCAGAGAGAAAAAGTGCTAATGAAAAGTAGCAAAGTGTCAAAAAGAACCCTAGTGTAAAATTTGACAAGGGGGAATTTATGTCTAGCAATTATTTCATCCATTACATTTTACAGAAAATAAGCTGTGTCCATCAAAATATTATGTAAAAATATCAAGCATAAAATACTGCTATTGACAAAGCCATCAGATTAAAAAAAAAAATGCATTCTACCCATTAACCATAATTGAAAAATATTATTTCCATTTAGTAAGTCTGGAAAACTAAATCTATTCTGGGGAAAAATACTGTTTGCTTAATGAAATAAGAGATGATTTTTGATGCTAAGAAATCAAATGCACTCTGCAACAATTATGAACCTTACTGCGAATAGTCTTCTGCCTCAAAGACTGAATTAAAACATGGATTGTACAAACAGCCATTCAGCAGAGCTGTATTTATTACTATCCTAAATAATCCAAAGAGAGACTAAGCAAAATACAGCTCTAATTAACACTCATTGCTAGTGGTAGAAGAACATTAACATGATGTATTTCTACTGCCACGCTGTTTAGAAGCCACAGTCACTGAAAGGACACTTTGCTAATAACAGACAAACAAAGTAGAACTTATGAAGCCTTTGAGTTACTTTTTAAGCTTTCTGTTGAATTGCTGCCTTAAAAAGACAAGCTTTTCATTGATTTAACCTGGGACCAAAACACAGTAGCAAAAAGAAGGGAAAACTATGGAAGATATTTTTTAATTCTGTTTTACCTTTACCATGTACATGAAGTTTGCTTTGTCAGACACCTGATACAAGAGGAGACAATGTGATAGGGGTGTCACAAAGACAGTGTTGCACCTCGTCCTTGAGTATTGGCTGCTCCTTGGCCAGGATCAAGAGCCTCCACACAGCAATGCATATTCATGCCCAGACTACTTTTAAAGCTCAGGCAGTTCAGGCACATTCTTCTTTCAGGTTCTGTGTCTGCAGCCAAAATATGTCTAAGTACACTGTCAAAAATCAAAAGGCAGGACAGCTTTCTTACCCAGAGGACTTCCCAGCTGAATTTATTATGGATGTGAGCTACCCTGTTAAGTGTAAGTTGTGTAGAAGAAGCACCAGAGGTATGTGTAAGGAGGGGGCATTTTGCAGTTCTGGATTACTTGGGAATTCAGTTTTATTCCAATCCTTTCAGTAAGACAGGGCTCACCACTGAAAACAAACATACCTCATTCTTAAAAAACTTCTGGAAGAAGTGGACCTATGAACTGTCTTATTGAACATCACCATGAAAAAAACTAAGCATTCTAAAAACACAATTTCAATTGAATGCAGTAAACAGGATAAACTGTTATAACTCTGTCAAAACGACCGTGGGTTAAAGAGACAATCACTAAGGCTGCCAAAGACCTCGAAGATTATCCAGTCCAATCATTAACCCAGCACTGCCAGGTCCACCACCAAACCATGTCCCTAAGCATGGCATCCACACATTTCTTGGACACTACCAGGGATGGTCATTCCACCACTTCCTTGGCATCTTGTTCCAATGCTTGACCACCCTTTCAGTGAATAATTTTTTCCTCATATCTAATCTAAAGCTGCCCTGGAACAACATGAGGCTGTTTTCTCATGATCTCACTTTTACCTAGGAGAAAAGACCACCCCCCACCTGCCTACAGCCTCCTTTCAGGAGAGCTGTACAGAGTGTTAAGTTCTCCTCAAGCCTCCTTTTGTCCAGGCTAACACCTCCAGTTAACTTGGCCTCTCCTCAGTTCCCTCAGCTTCCCTCTATTTCCTCAGATTTCAAGAGGGATTAACACCATGTACCTACTATTCGTGAATGAAAATTGAGATTGTTGTACTAACTAATGTTTCAGATCAAAATTTAATTTGTACTTTTCTCTACACATTACAAGTCCATGATTAAGTGAATTTTAGAGTCATCTTTTCCTTAGCGAGAAGTGTCCACACTTTCTTATCTTACTATGTTGGCACTTAAACTTAATGGTTTTTATCTCACAGATACAGCGGTCATAATAAATGTTTAAGATAACTATTTAAATTTTGGCTGTATTAACATTATAATGTAAAGAATCCTAATTTTATTGACCTTGATAAATCTAAGATTAAACTCACTCAGACATTTTATCTTGCTTGCTCTTAGAACAGTTTAAGATATTAACTTTAAATATGAATTATATTTCCTAATTTTATGAGCTTTGCTCATTTCCATAGATTTAATTTGAAAATAAAATTATTTCTCGTACTTACTGGAATACTGATAATGAAACTACTGAATTAATTTTCTTTGTCTATATTTAAAAATCACTTGAATTCATTTGGAGGGATTGGATTCTTAGTTTTGCATAAATGAGAATCTGCCAGGGCACTAAGAGCCATGAGAATCATCATGGACACTCAGTTATAAAATAAAGTTCAGACATTTAAAATTTGTCAAAAATTCTCGGTCCTATCCCTGAAAACACCAAGCGTAATATTTAAGTATAGTTCAAGACTCAGCTTCACAATGAAATTTTGCAAGATTTCTTTTCAATTCCTGCAAGAGTTTCTAGTTCAACAAGAATTAACTATTTTGCTCACACAGACGACTATTTCCAAAATGAGATCTCTAAATGTGACCACGGTGGTCTCTGCAGAGCCATTCGAGTGCTACAGGACACAAAGCAGAGCATTCCCGTGGATACATTTGGTGGCCGTACAAAACGGCACATTTCGGTGGAATTTCACAGCACTTGCAGGCAGAATCCCATGCCAGTTTGACCAGGAACACCATGTACAGGGCAGCACATCAGTATCCTGGAGTATCATTGTATCTTCTCTGCACAAGCTTCGTTTTTAATTTGCTGGTGGTATGATGGTGTGCTTCCCCCCTCCCTGCCACAGCCACCAGTGGGGCTTGTGGTGCCTGCACCCACCTTCCTGGGGACTTCTGGGGGACGGAGGGCTACAGGGCAGCCAAGGGCTGTCTGGAACAGTGACCCAGATGTCTTGCCAGTATGCAAATCTCACAATAAGTCAATCATCTCACTTTATAAACAGTGGACAGCCCAGGGCCCAGCGAGCTCTCCCGCTGGGCTGCACGCCAGGAGCTCCCCTTGAGTAAGGATAACTCTCAAGGTTAGTCCTCAAGGTTGAGAGATTCCCTGCCACAACAGATCCTCACTGAGTGATCAGTAGCACGCTAAACTAAATGAAATCTTAGCTAACTCGTACAAAGGATTGATTGTGCACGTATAATCCTTTGGACATAAACCACCAACCAAGTCTGGGACTAGGACTGGATCCAGCTGCAGTCTGAGAAGTTTAGAAAACAAGGGGGTCCTTCCTGAACCTCATGACTCAATGGAAGGGTCTCCCTGACAGCTTTTTCTAACCTTGCCTTCTAGGCAGTAAATAATCAAGTGTATCTTGCCACCAAACCTTGTTAAAGCACTGTCCCATTTGCCATTGAATTTTGTTAACTTGCTGTTTTATGTCAATAAAGTTCGCTGTTGCTTTTCTCTTACAGGTAAAGTGTCCATTCATGACAAGGTGCAATGGATAGAGGGAATAAGTAAGAGGGGTTAAAGCAGCACTGGAGGGAATAAACATTTGCTCATTCTCCTAACACAGAAAAGGTAATAACAAGTTATCTGTGGTGCCACTTGACAGCTTGTAAAGGAATGAATGACTGCCTTTAAGAGTGGTGATATTTACTGCCTAAGAGACCAAAATTCCTTTGACCTAAATGGTCACAGTCATTAGAGCTTCATAAATACAACAAAGTCAAATATTTAGGTTCAGATACTGTGAAACTTCTTGAGCACCTAAGAGTCTTACCAAAAAAACCCAAGACTATTCATAACAAGAAACACAACCAGAACTAAAATTAATCTGCAGAACCTGTATGTTGAAAACTGTTCATGACAAATTTTAATGGGCCTGAATCAAAGTTTTTTCAAGTCATTTGGAGTCTTTGGTATTGTTATTTGCATCAGCACCTAAACCCTCATCTTATTTACAGAGATAGTTCATATCATGCTAAGTTTTACCCAAGCAATTTCTGCAAGATGAGAACATCTGGACACATTAGGTACTTGGTTTACTAGACTATGTTAGACACCTGAGAATAGATTAAGTTCCATGTCCATTGCAGCATTTAATGCATTTATTTCAGAACACCCTTTTAAAGAAGAGGAGTAATTACTATCTCAGCTTTAGAAAGTGAAACTGAAGCACAGAAT